TACAACGCCAATCAAACCTTTGTGTCAATACAGTCAAACATATACTTCGCCATTATCAAATCAAGTTCACCAATGTTACACCTAATAAATCTGTCATGCATATTGGAATTAAATCGCAAGATGAACAACAATTATATGAACAATTATTACCACTTGACATTTTTCTTTAGCCTAGTATGGGGGGAGGTGTCAGGATCGCCATCTATTATAATAGTTGAGCGATCCTTCGTCTCTCTTGTCTCTCTTCTATTGGTCTTTTATGTACATATATGTTTAGCTTTGTTTTTTCTTTTCGAGAGTTGTTGTTTATCTTCAATAAAAGGTGGTCGAACAACAGTAGCTCGAAGAGAGCCTAACCCGATTTCCTTCTTTTCATCGTCTCGATTGTAACGGATCCTAACACCTTTTTTTTACAAAACAAGAAAATAATACGATGATATAAGAAAACTACCCCATCGCATCTAATGGAATTGAAAAGGACAGGATCATTTCATCTCATTCTAAGCTCCTTGTTAAAATTTATTAACCAGACATCTGCTGATCAGGTATCTTAGGAGATTAGGCTCCTTCAAAGCGATGCCTTTGATAAAAATCCTGATTTTTTTGAACAGTTATATAGGTCATAGAAACTATCTAGAGCCAAGACTTCTGCTAAAGAAACTATTTAACAAGATATTTTCATGAGTAGAATTTCATCTTTGTAGTATGATCGAGTTACGAGATATATTTATCCACAAAACATCTATATACGACAATTTCCTTGTATACATGGCAATACTGGTCCATATATTCATATTTCATTCATTTGACCATATTTTTATACGAAAACTTGATGAGTTTGAGATGTGTGTATGTTCAAAATTTCGACGTAAATAAATGTATAGTTGTCGAGAATTGCATGTAGACATATTCAAAAAAAGAGTATCTTTTTGCAGTTAGGTTCTCAAAACATTTAAACGCCTTAGCAACGGAACGACATTTGCTCAAAAAAGTTGTACCGCCATCCTTAAAATTAGTTTCCTATACGTATATGAAAGTTAGCAAAGTCAAACAATTTCGATTGGAAACAAGCTCAGTATTTACTTATGTCGGATGACTTTTATATCTATTAACTCGGTAAAATATTTTGCACAGATTGAATAGACATAAAACTAGTAGATCTAGCTGGCGCTGTGCAAATCAAATTATTATTTCTCTTACACTTAATCCATTTCACTGCATGAAAAAATATGCTCATGGCAAAAATAAATGACAAAAAAACATTAAAAATTTGCTTCAAATCGAATGAACTTTTTCGCCAGCAGTGACTTATCGTACTAGTATTACATCTATCCTATATATTTTGAATTTTTCGATGAAATGAACTCGTATCCTTGGTATCTGTAGTGTATCGTGCGTATCGTACGAATCGGATGGATAGCCATCGTATCCTCTGGATTGTGTGGATTATCACGTATCCCGGATAGACGGTATCCGCTTTCCCCCCTTGGGGCGAAGGCATAGATGTCGCGAGTCGTATTGTCTGCAGGCAAATGCTAAGAGCACCGAGGAAAACGTTTCGGTGTGCGGAGTTGGTCGGGTGCGTTTTTTTTTAGTCTTAACTACGATAAAAAGCGATGAATGAGATCCGTAGGCAGAGATGCATCTGGCGACATCTATACCTTCACCCTCATTTGGGTCTGTTCGTGCATGCATTGTATAGTGCTCATCAAGACCTTTCATTAAAGCTATATGTTTGATATGGATATCAGCTCTTATGCCATTAAGTCGAAGTTGCCTGAATTGCTAGCAGTAGCACTAATTAACATTTTGCGTAGGCATGCAATGTTCAATTTAGGTCAATGATGTGTTCGTTCGATAGAGCTTGGCGAGATCTACATTGGTCCACATTGTTCTATTTTTGGTCCGGCGCCTGGGCAGATCCCTACAAGGAATACTAGAATCCAGCTCCAAGATATCCTCCGTTTTCAAACTCGGGGAAATGCCAAATAGCAATTCAATGGTGGCGATAATCATAGGGCTTTCATCAGTTCTTGTTTAGAGGCACACTTTCAAACGTCATCATTAACACAAGTGAAGTCGGCAACTGAGTCAGAAACCTTTGATGATGAACCAGTTTTTTCTTTATTCAGACGCATTTATGATAAAAGAAATGTATTCGGAGAAAGTAACGACTTTTTTATAAAGGTTGATAAGAGAAAAACTGTGTTGCGGAATTCGAATCTAAAGTCAGATTTTCAAGATTTTGGACCTTGGGTTCTCGATAAACTTTGACTGGTGGTGTTTCGTGACAGAAGTCGAATAAGCACAACATTTCGAGAAACTGACAGCTAATACGGATTCCCTTATCTTGATTGCTTGTTCGTCGAGCTTTATAATATATCTTTACCTTCCTGAAACAAGATTTCCTTCACCGAAAACCGGCGAGGCCCGTACGATTAAACGGTGTACCGTAAGTGCGATTATCGCCATCGTTGCACCCTGAATTATATGTGGTAGCAAAGTTTGATATTTCTCCAAAGACATATGTATACTATGTTCGAAGTGATTAAATTTATTAAACCAAATTATCATTGAAAACAAGTTCAACAAAAGACAACACAGAAAGCAACAACATACAATCATGCATTTTTCAGTACATATATTCAACGTATTTTTTTTTCAATAATACATAAGCAGTTGTAACGAATAATTTGATGAGAAATTGTCATGTTTGATTAAAGATCTTAGATTTAGTTAAGCCGTGTGCTGACAAGCAGAACATAAATTTCGGAAACTTCGAGATTGAATCTTTTTGACAAACGTAAATAATACTGTTCGATCGCGTTGCGATGGTAGAATGAATGCAAATAGTGTAAGCGACTTCTCGCTTTCCTTTGAGTATATGATACGTAGTTCAGCTGCCATTCTTCTTCGTTCCATTCCTCTTCACTAGGACTGTAACAGTTCAGAAACAGTTCCGAACTGGTGAACTGTTTGAACAGCTCTCTCAAACTGAACTGAACTGTCCAAACAGTTCCGCTCAGCTCAGGAGAACTGCTCGCACAACTCTATCGAACTGAGCTGAACTGTCCGAACAGTTCAGTTCAGCTCAAGAGCACTGTTTGAACAGTTCAGCTCAACTCAGATAATTAGCAAGGGCTATTCTATAGGTTACTAGGACCACGATAGTTCCAGCCCACGAACCGGTTTCAAACGAACCGATGAACTGCCCGAACAGTTCTGGCGAGCTGAACTGAACTGTTCAAACAGTTCAGCTCAGTTCGAAAGAACTATTCGAACAGTTCTTTTGAACTGAACTGAACTTTTTTGAACAGTTCATCGGTTCGTTTGAACCCGGTTCATGAGCTGAAGCTGTCGTAGTCCTACTCTTTACATAGTTATGCATATTTGTATCTTCTCTCGTTCTGTGAGGAGGAACACGGTGAGCAAGGATGAGTCATGAGTTGAATATGGGTGTTCGATGTTCGATGTTTTTTTTTCCTTTTTTATTTGGTTGAATAAAGCTCACATTTTGGTGCCGTGACCCGAGATTTTTGGTTTGCCAATTCATTAATCACTTATTCGAAGTTGTATTATGGCTTCGGACGATGATAAACGCCCTCTTAAAGAGCTGCTTCAGCCATTCACTCAGTTTCAAGCTCCACAATCGAATCTCGCCTCTTCACCTATGATAATTCAAACAGCTTCAACAATTAAAAAACCATATCAAATTACTTTTTCTTCACGTGATGAAGAAATAAAATATACACAAAAGCTCTTAGATAATTGTACACTTTATAATGGTGATCCGGATAATTTAATGTCTTGGTTAAGAGACACAGGTGCATTTATTGTTAAAGAACGTTATACAGAAACTGATCATCCATTTATTATTTGTCATTTACTAACCGATGATGCACTTGATTATTATCTAGCTCATGAAGACATGATCTTCAATTTTTATGATCTTCGTAAATTATTATTACATAACCAAAATATATTAGCACCTTTACGTACCTTGCCAACCCTTGATTCCATCGCCACTTTATTTTTAACTGCTGCACCTCCTGCTCTCACGTCTACTCAACTTCCTAGTTCCACCACTGATAAAACGACACCTATGATCACTTTTACGTTCGCTCAATCACTAGAAGATTTAACACAAAATGATATTAGAAAAACTATTATTGAAAATTTACAACGAAGCACTACAAAATTTACTGGTGAACATAAACAAGACGTTCTTAAATGGTTGAAAACCATCGAAATTAATTTCGAAACGGCAGACATTTCAACTGTTAAGAAATTCGATTTAATTCCATAATTACTTGATAAAGGAGCACTTGATTGGTTTCAAGATAATAAAACGAACTTTAACAATTCTTGGAGCGTCTTCATTGACCATTTCAAAAAAACATTTGATTCGCCAAATCGTGCTAGAATTGCAATGCAAAAGCTTAATTCTTATTCTCAATCACCAAACCAAGACGTTCGAAGTTTCTGCAGTGAAATGCGGAAACTATTTTCTGAAGCTGACTCCTATATGAGTTCCTCGATGAAATTAGAATTTTTATTAGCGAAAGTGAATCCTATTTATCGCCTTGATTTACTGAAACAGAAACCAAAAGATCCAACCGAATTTGAAGCAATGGCACGTGATATTGAAAATATCTATCTGGTGAATGAAGCATATTGATGGTAAGAGTAATTGCCTTGCTGATTATCTTTCTAGACCTACCGATGATCCACTTTTTGATGTTGATTATGGTCTTGAAAGCAAACTTCCATGTTCCAGTTCATCACATTTACACACTCCTCATCAGCCTTCAGTGAATATTGTTGCTCCAATGATACTTCGCCCTTGACGAAAACTTTCACCACTAGGTGTATCTAATTTGGATAATGTCGACGATGATTCCGATGCTTCGTCTTGTTCTTCTGAAGCTTTGTTTACCACTTGCTCACAAATTATCACTACAACTCCTTCTCTAAATGTTTTCGATCCAAATCAATTGTCTCATGAACAGGCTCAGGATTCCAATATTCGTAGTATCATTTCTCAATTAAATCAAAACGAACCTTGTGATTCTACATTGTCTTCGTCGTGTATTATGAAAAACGGTATTCTTCACAAACTTATTGCTCTTACTCCCAAATCCAAACTTCGATTATCCGTACCTTATCTTCCTTCGTCGATGGTACGATCTCTCCTTACTGCAATACATGATGATCCCTTCCAAGGTGGGCATTTTTCAGTTGATAAAATGCTGTCGAAAATACGTACTCGTTATTGGTGGTCTCACATGCGACAAGATGTTCAGAGCCATGTTCAAGCATGTGTCTCTTGTCAACAATATAATTATTCGCGTCAAAAGAAACCTGGTCATCTTCAACCTATTCCTCCAGTAGCTACTCCGTTTTCCATAATTGGTATGGATTTTTGTGGCCCATTCGTTGAATCACCTCGAGAAAATAAATACGTTCTCGTTGTTACTGATCTATTTACACATTTTGTTACTGCTAGTCCGCTGCTACCAACACTGCTGAAATTACTGCATTAACCTTATTTCGTCACATCTTCTGTCGATTTGGCGTTTGTTTCACCTTAATTACTGATCAAGGAACTCATTTTAATAACCATCTTATGCGAGCACTCCAACATTTCTTTGGTTATAATCACATACTTAGTACTCCGTATCACCCGCAAACGAATGGCGTTGTTGAACGTTTTAATGCATCGATGGTGGTTCAAGTCTCAAAACTTCAACAAAAACACCACAACAACTGGGATGACTACCTTGATGCCGTTATTTTTGCATACAATAGTTCAAAACATCGAACAACCCAGTATTCCCCCTTCGAACTTCTTTTTGGTCGCTCACCGAAACTTCCCATCGATTCACCTCCACGGTATTTTCACTTTGATCGCCCTAATGCTTATTTCGTACATCTTCAAAAAATCCTTCAAGTTTATCATCAGCACGCAAAGTTTAACATCCTGAACCAACAAAGTTATCATAAACGATATTATGATCAAAATCGTCCAGACCCTCATTATAATGTAGGTGATCGGGTTTTCACAAGAATTTTCGCTGCTCGAGGAAAGTTGGATCCACGGTACTCTGCCGAACCAAAACTTATCGTTCAAACTAATCATCCCACATATATTGTGAAGCATGAACCAACGGGTTTCGAACATCGATATCATGTTTCGGACTTACGGCCCGTAACCTTAGCCTACGGCGACAATGGTTCCATTTAAATTAACTTTTTTAACTACCCAATCCGATGCCATCATTTTTACTTTATGTTACATCAACTCATCGTACACTCGTTGGTTCCGTCATTTTTTAATCGTTGTGCGCTATGTTTATCAATCAAAATTAGTTTATGTTATCAATAATCGTGGCATGTGTTTCATTAATCATTTATAATCTACGTGGTGCTATGTACTATTCCTACAGGCATGTACGTGTGGCACATCTTGTACTCCGTTTTTTCTGGCTTCTTTTTTTCTCTGCCTATACGTATCTCATTCTTCATATTTTTATATCTTTTTTTCTTCTTAAAATGCTTCTCATTTTTAACTGTTTCCATTCATTTTTATGATCTTCGTCTTTTCGGGGATTATTTCGTGTTTCTCAAACCTTTATCATCACTCGTGTTGCGTGTTACTCATGGCGTGCAGTTTGTTGTCCATTGCTCGCATAAGTATTATTCTTGTTGCTTTTTCCTCTTTCTCTTTTGGTGGTTTGCATTCCTGGTTGTGTGGGACTTGTGCTGTTTGTCATCCCTGTCCAGCGTGTGAACCGCATTTGAATATTTCTCCTCGATGTGAATGTAAGGAGAATTTAAACAACTGCAATTGTAACTGCATTACGCAAGAGAATCTTCAAGCTTATCATACCTCGTGGAATATTCAACAAATGTCATTTACTTGGTTGGATTATCGGCTTATCGTGTGGTAATATTTTTTATTGTGCGCTATCGTGATACTCATCTTTTGTGCTCCGACATCGATACGTCGTTCTACTACTTGGCGTTTCAAGATGCAGCTCAAACGACGGGCCCGCCTTCTAAAAAAGTTTGATTTGGTTGAACGTTCCGCCCTTCCACCAGTGCAGCCGTCTTATGACGATCTTTTAAAACAACTACACGACCAGAAACAACAGCTCGACCAATTTGCACGTGTTTTACCACCTATGCAGACTTTACCAGTGATCCAACCCACTATTTCTTAAATTGTGTTTTCGTTTCCTGATTTTTTTCTTTTTTTTGTAAACTCCCTTGGCGAGGAGAGGTGTAAGCGACTTCTCGCTTTCCTTTGAGTATATGATACGTAGTTCAGCTGCCGTTCTGCTTGTCAGCACACGTCTTAACTAACTCTAAGATCTTTAATCAAACATGACAATTTTCATCAAATTATTCGTTACAACTGCTTATGTATTATTGAAAAAAGATACGCTGAATATATGTACTGAAAAATTCAAGATTGTATGCTGTTGTTTTTTATGGGTACTGTTTTCAATGATTATTTGGTTTAATAAATTTAATCGCTTCTAACATAGTATGCAAAGATCTTTAGCAAAATATCAAGCCTTGCTACCATATTTTATCAAGCGTTAAAGCATCAAATATTTTTGTGCTAGAAAGAGAATTGGCTGACCAACGAATTTGCTCCGACTAGATAGTTTTGCAGAACAAATCACAGAAGGAGAAAAGCAAATGTTCAGAAGTTCTTAGAATACGTTGTTGGGTGAATATAAGTTACATTACACTCGAATTTGTGACTAGGTTAATCTAAATCGAATAGCAGTGTTTCTATCTGAAATAATATCCATAGGTAAAACTAATCTTCTTGACATATAGGTTTTCATAAGAAAAATGATCTGATAGATATAGAAAGATTCGAAAAGTGATTAACTTTGATGTATGATATTTCAGTGCCTGCCGGGGAAGTTTTAAACTTCCACAGGGGCCAACGACTATCTTCGTATAGTTGTTGGAGGCGACCCTGGGCTGCTGGTAGCCACTCGTCTGGTCATGAGGCTAGCAACCTCTAGTTAGACATTAAACAATTATTGCTAACGAAAAGAAACATTATCGGTGCGTAAATGCACAAAATCATGTCTTTTTCGGTGGGTGGAACGTTAGATCTTGTGTGAAACAATCAAAGAAAGAAATTATAACCAATCAATTGAAACAATATAGAATACAAGTGGCCGCATTAAGTGAAACATGTATGTGTGCTGCAGGTGTAAAAGTAGTTAACGACTACACGATGATCTATTCAGGCGCACCACATGAAATGAAAACACGAAAGGCTCATGGTGTCGCAATATGTCTTGATCAAGCTGCTGCAAAGGTTTGGAAAGATTCTGGAAGTGAATGGGAGCCAATCAGTGAACGCATTGTAAAAATTAGATTAAAATGCACTCCTATTCATATTACAGTAATCGCTGTCTACTCTCCAATCAATCCAACAACAAAGGAGATGGCTAATCAAAGCGATAAATTTTACTCGGATCTGCAAGATACAATAAATAATGTGTCAACAAAGGATATGATTATTATCATGGGCGATCTAAATGCTAGAGTTGGGCAAAAACAACAACAACATATAGCAAAAAGCAGTGTCGGTCCATTCACAGTGGACGTTGAAAATGAAAACGGCACGAGACTCACTGATTTCTGTGAGATCAACAATATCAAAGTATCAAACACATTTTTCAAGCATAAGTTGGTACATCAAACATCTTGGATGCATCCAAGAAACAAAATATGGCACATGATTGATTACACACTTGTGAACAAGAAGTTCAGATCGAGCGTCGAGGACGTTCGAATGTTTAGAAGAGCAGCAGGGGCAATAGGAACAGATCATCATCTAATGCGTGTCAAGATTAGGATGCATCTAAAGAGCAGAAGAAAAAATGTCAATCTGAAGAAAATGAACGTTGATAGTACTAAACTAAAGGATGACAAACTACTAGAAGCGTTTCAAAAAGATCTTCGTGACACAATTGATGCTACAAGTGATGACACAATCAACATTGATGAGAGATACCAGCTGTTCTTATCGCAGCTAAAAGAGAAAGCCGAACAACACTTTCCAGTTGACAAAAATTCGAATAGAAAAAGAAAAGAATGGTTGACAACCGACATTCTAAAAATTGTAGATCAAAAAGCACAAGCATTCATTGAATGGCAGAATAATCGTGGTTCTAAATTAGAGCCTAAATACCAGAAAAAATATGAACGCCTGCGTAAAACAGCCAAAACAATGGCTGAGCAACGTCAAGTTGAATATTGGGACGAAGTGTGCGAGGATATAGAAAAATCTATAAAAAACAACGATCCCGCAACAGCGTTTTCCATTATAAGACGTCTCAGAGGTGGAAGTAAAAGAATGGAAAATATACCAGTACAAGATAAAAATGGTAAACTTCTTGTGAATTCAAGAGACACTCTGAAGCGTTGGGGTGAATTTTTCTGTGAAACACTCAATGTATGTGCATTGATTGATCAAAATTTAATAGATCAAATACAAATACCTACTCTTTCAACAACTGAAGAGCATAGACAGAATGCTCAACCTTCTATTGAAGAGGTGAGAAAAGCTATAAATCAGATGAAATCAAGAAAAGCTCCAGGTAGTGATGAAGTCACAGTTGATATTCTAAAAGCTGGAGGTGAACCAGTAATAAGATGGCTCTTCTACTTCTTCACTGATGTATGGAAGAACGAGCAGATGGCGAAGGAGTGGAGTATAACAACTCTAATCAGATTATACAAAAACAAAGGCGACAAGAAAGTATGTGATAATTATAGAGGAATCGCCCTATTGAATGCAACTAGTAAAATATTCTCACGTATTATACTTAATCGTATTCAAGGTCTGATAGATGGTCAATTACTAGAAATACAATCTGGCTTCCGATCGAACAGATCAACTACTGACCAAATCTTCACTCTGAAAATGACAATGGAAAAAAGAAGAGAGTTCAATAAGCCTCTATTCATGTGTTTCATAGATATCGCAAAGGCTTACGACTCAGTCAATCGTGAACTCTTATGGAAAGTATGCCTTAATTACGGCATCTCGGAAAAATTGGTCAATCTATTAAAAATGCTTTATAAAGACTCGATAGCGAAAGTCAAAGTAAACGGTGAAGTATCGGATACCTTCGAAATTAAAACAGGTGTGATGCAAGGAGGCATCCCTTCACCAATCCTATTTAATATTCTGTTTGACTTCATTATTAGAAGAATCATTGATGAGGCTGATGTTACAGGAGTGAAATTTTCGTATGGCAGTAATGACTTTTGTCATGGAAGGAGCGAGAAACATGATGATTTTGATATATTGGCACTCTTATATGCAGACGACCTAGTTGTAATGTGTGAAACCGCTATTGATCTAGAGAAATTTATTAAATCTTTTGAAAAAGTGACTCAACAATTTGGCTTAACCATGAGCATAAAGAAAACCTGCTTGATGTCCCTACAACAACTAAAAGAAGATCAACACAGAAAAGTGTTGAAAGGACAAAATGTCAACTATACTGATATAGATATAAACATAAGAAACCAAAAAATTGAAACAGCTGTCTCATTCACATACTTAGGTTGTATCATCACGAATGATCAACGTCAAGATACAGAGCTCTTAGCACGGCTCACAAAAGCTTCTAAAGCTTTCAACATGTTACGCCATGCAATATGGCATAGAAAGTCAGTTTCAATCACTGCAAGACTTCGAATCTTCAGAGCATGTATACTACCAGTGTTACTGTACGGTAGCGAAACTTGGGCTCTCACGATGAAACAAGAACAGAGGATTGCCAGTTTCTATAACAGATGCTTACGCACGATTATCGGCGTAAATCTTGGTGATCGAATGTCAAGTTGGTTGTATAGCACCCATTCGTGTCGAACTTTGAATGGTATGATGGATATTATCTAAGCTGATGACATCAGAGGGTAATAGACTGATGGATGTCTCAGTTCAATGCTAATGGCGATCTACGTGGCTCTCATCGTACAAAGACAAAAGACTATTTTTTTCCCTTTCCTTGTCTCCCTTTTTTTTAACCTGTTTGTTAATATAATTATGTGTTTGTTCATTGTATTATGTTTCTCACCCTACACCGGAGACGGTAAGGGTCTATAAATAAATAAATAAAATATAAATAATAAAATTTTAAATTGAAGTATATGTTATTTTCTCTCATTTGATTCGGTTGAACAACATCTCCAATAACAGGTAAATTATAATTTGGAATTAAATTTTATTTTACTTAGATTTAGTCGAGCAACTGTCCAAGAGAAATACGATAAAAATTTTAAATAAATTGTATTTGATTTTCTTATATTTAGAGTCTCCCGAGCAAGTCATCGACGAATATATCGTTTCGTATCTCCTTGGTGGGACTTAGAGTGGCGTTTATAAAAGTAGTAAACCATTTGAGGGTTTAGTATATGTTGCACTTTAATAAGTTCTTTAAAGTGTTTAGAAAAGTTAAAGAACCTACCGTGAACGCTTTGGAACCGTTTTTGAAGGTGTTTATGCATCTCGGAAGCCCCTTCTGGTACAATCCGCGAGGGTTGATGGTAGGTTTTTATTACTTTTCTGAAGTCTGAGTTGAATTTATTAAAGTGCAAGATATAATAAATCTTTGTATGGTTCATTTCTCTCTTAAACGCTTTCTTGAGTCATTGGAAGGGTATCTCGAAAGGTATATTGATTTCCTAAACCCTTTGTAACGTTTTTTCAAAGGGTTTATGATTTTCCTAAACCCTTTTTGGGTTTATTATTCTACGAATTTGTTTTACAGTGTATATTATCTCTTACTTAACTCGACACATAACTAGCAAAAGTATAAATGCTTTGTTTTAGTTTCTTCTGAATGATAACGATGTTAACTTTATCAGAAGTTTTCAATAAACAACATTTATTTGTGGGAACAAATACTTTGTATTAGGCAGATGATCTTTAATCATTCTACTGTTTTATAGATTTTATCATTGTTTCTGTTTATCAAATTATTTCAACTTTAGTACTACAGATCCATATAGATTATTTTATCATATTACTTAGCCTGTAATATAAAGAGATCTAATTCTTATAATGCTCTGTTTAACTATTCATCATGATTACTGTTAGGTCCATTTCTGTAGACTACAATCAATACTAATCATGGAAGTTTTAGAACATTAAACAAAATAGTAGTGTTGAAGAAGCGAAATCAGTCAATGTTGATGGGAGCAATGACGTGAAATTAATAACTTGACATCATTACACCTATCAACATGTATAAGACATTTTTAGAAAAGCAAGCGCATTTGATCTCATGCTTAAAAAAATCTCAACTCATCATTATTGAGTATAGATTGCCGTTAAATAACTTGTTTCTCTATAATAAATATGCTCTACTCAGAATGTAAGAAATTTTTCTTGTTTTTCAAATTAATGTATCATTCTCTTTCTTAGATACGACAGATTCTCTATACTATTTTCCATTTTTCAATACTTCTTTTTAGTATTATAGCAGTTTACGACTAGTTTTATTTTTTTATTCTTCTCTTTTATTAGTGTATCAATAAAGCATTGAATAGTAGTTTAGTAGACGAATGAGAGGGATTTCCTGAAATAGAAAAGATGATGTAGTAGTTACAGTCGAATCCGCTTATAAGAGCGCAGTCGGGGAATCAAAAAGTAGCTCTTATATCCAGGTCGCTCTTTTATGCGAACTATATGCAAAACAGTGCAAAAAATGATTCTTGTCAACATTTATTAAATAGTACACACACGTACATAAATTCACTTAAAGAAATCCGTGATTTTACGTTGAGTACGATTAATTAAAGCGTTCTTTTCGATCACGTCTTCGACATCATAATATGAATTGTAATCTGTAAAATTCTCGGCGATTTCTTCATTAGGGCTTTCGTGTTTTCGTTTTCGACTTAAGTTGCCATTGTTCATCACTATTTTTCTGATTTATTCTTCGTTTTGCCTTATCTTCTTCGTCATAGAATAGCCGATGTTGAAATCTTTACCGCTGGTAGATGCCATTTTTTGAAAAATAAAGATCCAACGAAAAATGAGGAACAATATATAGAACAAAGGACGAAAGAAAAATCCATAGAATGGAAAATCCAACATAGAACAACATGAAGGAAAGAAGAACGAAGGAAAGGAAAAATTCATCACATATATATGACAGGAAAGAAAAAGAAAAAGAAGAAGAACATAAGTGCATATTTATAATGATATAGATAAATAAAAGCTCTTTTATGCGGACTAAAATCACAAAAGAGCGGCAAAAAAGCGCTCTTATAAGCGAATCGCTCCTGTATCCGAAGCTCCTACAAGCGGACTTTGCCACAATGTAAAATACATTTCGAAGAAAACGGGGAATCGAAAAACGGCTCTTAAAAGCGTACCGCTCCTTTATACGGAGCTCTTATAAGCGGCTTCGACTGTATCATTTATTTTAACCAAAGAAAAATTCTAAAATATTAGCGCTAGTTACAAAATATATAAAAAAATATCTTTCCTTTTCTTTTTTTTTTTGTATCGATATCATGCCATTCTTAGCTAAAATCGATTCTCAAATAAATGATACCTTATTAGTTATTAAACAAATGCGAAAAACTTCTCAGAAAAAAATGAATAGATCATCTATCAACAGATCACTTTTGATTATTACAGCAAATACCAACAAGAATATAAATGCAATTCTACCTTTATCAATATCGAAAAATAATAATCAGGAAAATACTCTATCGAAGAATTTTCTAGTGTTAGATAAACAAAATGATTCAATGATATCTGAAGATTTTCCTCATAGTCATATATACAATCGTGATGTAAATCAATGATATTTTATTTTCTTTGAATTAAATAAAATATTTTCTCATTTAGATACGTGATATACCATTATCCAAACGAAATGATACTGATTTAGATCGTCTTCGATCATGTAATATATTAACAATGACTGATTTAATAGGTCGTTATTTGATTCATAAAACATCTGATGAATTTCGACAATTTCTAATTGAAAAATTACAATGTAGTCAATCGTTTACTGACGATATTATTCAATTGCTACAAACTTGGACACTATATAACTTACATATCAGAAGAGGCACACGGGTAACAACACTCAAACAATATTTGTGAATATTTCATTTGAAATTTTACATATTTTAAAGCTTCGATTTAGTTTTCATTTCTAATAAATATGATTGCCATCATTGCACGATTTCTAACAAATAAATTTATTTGAGAAATTAAGATTCTCTAGTAACAAAGATTATTTATCGTAACGCATCGAAATATAGCTTTTGATCAAGTACTAAATTTAAAACAGAAATTATCTCTATAAAATACGACAATAAGATGCCCTGGGTTTAAAATAAACCGATTGTGATAAACACAAAATCGAAAATGACTTTTACTTTGAAAACCGGTATGGAAAACCTATAGATGTATCACTTTTGCTAGTCATTGAATTGAGCATGGTAATACTTTCATAAGAAAACTAGAGGGAGTAATATCAATGTAACAAATATTTGTATTTCAACCTCTTAGCAAAATTGATTGATGCAATTATTCTCTACAGTCTCATATTCATCAAATAAAAACACAGCAGAATCTATTCCTGAAAAATGAATACAAATTTGGTAAAATTTCTAAAAACAGACTAAAATAAATAAGCAGTTCTTTTCTTTCCAACGAAGCATTACATTGATTTTTAGACTGCGAAGAAATTCTAATCTCTATATATTCTATTGATAGTCAAATTTCTTTCAATATATATATATATATATATTATATATGACAGCTAGGTGTCGCAAATAAACAAGAGCTAAATTGATTTTCTCTTGCGCAACACGTTTGATATATTACTTTTGATAAAATTCTTAAAATTCTTTTAAAATCATCCTAATAAAATGTGATGAATTCTACACATAAGTATAGGATTGGTTTAATACTCGTTCAATTACCATTTATCTTCAAGTTCTCTGTTCATAGAATTACACCATCTAATGTAATACGAATTCATAATCAAATTTGTGATAAAATCAAAGAATAAATGGATGATACTGGATTTCGAGCTGAATATGCTAAATCAGATCGATCAACGTGTAAAGGATGTCGATCAACCATAGACAAAGATTCCCTTCGACTTGCTATTATGGTTCAATCACCAAATTTCGATGGAAAAGTATTCGATTTAAATATTGTTCTAACACAAAGAAAATGAAAATATTTATCATTTAGATTCCGAATTGGTATCATATGGGATGTTTCTTTAAAAAGGTGAAACCTGCTGATGCACAAATAATAAAAGGTTTTGATGATCTTCGTTGGGATGATCAAGAAAAAATTCGTAAAAAAGTTGATGGAACAACATCAACAAATGAATCAAGTGATTAGAAAATATTTAAAAAGAAAAGAGCTATTCCCAAAACAAAAGAAAACCATTTTTCGCCTAGATGTTAAATCAGATGAAACAGACGGTGGTTCAAATAACTTCAGTGCAGAATACGCTCGATCTAATCGAAGTACATGTCATGGTTGTAATGATAGAATTGACAAAGATCTTGTTCGTTTGTCAAGAAAAGTTTCAACAAGTCACACTTCTGTTCTCACCGATCAATGGTATCACGTTGATTGTTTCAAAGAACAAAAAGATGAATTAAATTTTGATGGAACTGCCGAAACGTTTGTTTTCTCTTTTATATTTTGTTATTGATTCGTTTTTTCTCTAAAATTTTATTTTCATATATTTAGATTTTTAGGTTTTAATGAACTTAATAAAGAAGATCAAACTGAATTGAAAAAAAAGTTTGGTTCATCAACTATCAGCCGAAAACGTAAAGGTGATAAAATATCAAGTTCAACCAATGAAATTGGTGATGTACCAAAAACTAAACAATCTAAAACAGAAGATAACAATGAACCGATGTCTGAACAAGAAGAAATTCATCAAAAAAAAGTTTTTCATATTGTTTTGCATAGAAAATTTAGTTTTACTTTTCGTTTTATTTTCTTAAAGGAACAAAGTGAATTACTTTGGAAATATAAAGATTCTCTAAGAAAAGAAGTACCAAATGAGGTTTTAAAAGAATTATTGGAAATTAATCAACAAAAAATTGTTTCTGGAGAATCACATGTAATATCAATTATTGCATAGGGATTTTACATTCATTTTTTATTTTGAAAACATTTAGTTAATTGATACAGTTGCTGATTGCATGGCATTTGGTACATTAGAACATTGTCCTGAATGTGGAGGATTTCTTATTTTCAAGTAAAGTTGGTCCGTTTTGAAATTTTTTCTTTTCGAACTGAATTATCGTAATTTTAGTTATACATGTTATCGTTGTACTGGTGATGTCACAGAATGGACGAAATGTAGTTATTCAACTAGAACACCAACAAGAAAACCATTTGATATACCTAATGATATTAAAACTGAATACGATGCGTTGTAAATATTTCTTTTTTCTCTTTATTTCTGTTGATATTTCAATTTTTTCCAATTTTTCTTTAGTAAATCATACAAATATAAAAAACGTGATCGAATTTTAGCAAAAGTAATTGAGAAACAAGTAACAATTAGTAAAACACCTGACGTGTCACGAGTTATTCAAGAGTAAGTTTTATTTTTTCCAATGACAAAACATATCTTCCTTGGATCTGAATGTTATTTATTGAAAAAGAAGATAAATTCAACTAATGACAAATTTCTTAGGGAGGAATAAGAAATAGAATTCACTCGCTCTTTTCAAAACATTTAAGGCAAATATTAATGACTGCTGTTTTACGATTTTACTGGTGGTTTCTTTTGTAATGGAATATTTGTATATCTTTTTTTTACTCGAATTGAATTCTTATGATTAAAAAACGAACAACATTGCTTTAGACCAATATATGATTCAAATTTACCACTTACCGGCTATACTATATCATCGGCTGGTCGATTATCAATTTCGGTTGCAACCATTCAAAAAGAAGTTGAACGATTAGGCGGAACATTTTCATCTAAAATTGATCAAACTGTTGGAATTGTTATTAGTTCGAAAGGTAGTTTGATTTTTTTACGAATTTTCATTCGATAATTTTTGTTTTGAATATCAGATGAAATACAAAAAATGGGTAAAAAACTGCAAGAAGCACAAATATTAAACATTCATATTGTATCAGAAGAATTTTTAAATGAAATAAAAAAGGATCGTCCATCAATACTCATGGAAAAATGGAAAATCTCTACATGGGGAATCTTACCTCATATTCGACAGCAAACAAAAGCAGATGAAGAAGCAAAAATGAAATCTGTACGACAATCATTGACAACAGCATCAACTAAATCTGATTGTAAATTTTCAATAAAACCAAAACTCAAAACATTGAATCTTACTTTTTTTAAGCTCATTCAAAAAAATCAGTACCAGATAAAATGAAGTTAAAATTAAAAGATGGAGCTGCTGTTGATCCCGATTCAGGTTTTATCTATACAAAAACATTTCATTAAAAAAAAAGTATTTTATTAAAAAAGGTCTTGAAGATACTTGTCATGTTCTTAAAGATACCGAAACAAGTGAAATATTTTCGGCCGTACTTGGTCTTGTTGATATAACACGTGGAACAAATTCTTATTATAAAATGCAATTACTTGAATCAGATAATGGCCGACAATGGTTTGTCTTTAGAGCATGATAAGTGTTTCGTTGTCATTTTTATTTATTTTCTCTTAATTATTTTGTTCTTGATGATTTTTTATACGGGTCGAACAGGTACAATCTATGGTGGAAATAAAATTGATGAATATAGTCGACGAACAGATGCAATCAACGCCTTTCATGTATTATTTCTTGATAAAACAGGTAATGATTGGTCGGATAAGAAAAATTTTCAAAAGTTACCAAACAAACATTATCCACTTGAAATTGATTATGGACAACATGCCGATAATGATGAGATGCGAAAACTACTGGAAAGTGCTAATTTAAATATTCAATCAAAATTACCAAATCCAGTTCAAGATCTTGTTAAAATGATTTTTAATGTTGAAACAATGCAACAGGCGTTGCTAGGATTTGAAATCGATTTAACTAAAATGCCATTAGGAAAACTATCGAAAAATCAATTAGATAAGGCTTACAAAGTTTTAACAGAATTACAAACTTTGATTACTAGTGGGACTATGACATCAAAGACAGCTATTATTGATGCAAGTAATCGATTTTATACTTGTGAGTAACTAAACATATTATTTATTCATTTTTCATTTCGTTTAAATTGATTCAGCCAATAATTCCAGTGTGCTACAAACTGTTAATTTATTGTATTTCAGAGATAAAAATAAAATGAACTCTTTGACACGTTCGAAAATCGATTGAAAGAAAAACAAAATACTAAATTAAAAATTTTCTCGCTTCATATAATTTTACTTTCTTTTCAAAGTAAACTAAACTTAAATCAAACTAGAAACGAATTTCAACGTTTAAATCTAATCGATATTCAATAGAAATAGATTGTCTATTAGAGGAAATCAAGAAATATTTTCGTATCAGCTAATAAACACTTGATTCTATTAACTTTAGTGATTCCTCATGATTTTGGTTTGGCTTCACCACCATTACTTGATAATGTTGAATTGATAATATCTAAAACTGATATGATTGATAATTTACGTGAAATCGAAATAGCTTATTCAATGTTAGATCAATCAAATAATACCATTGAAAGTAGTGAACATCCAATAGATGCTCATTATAAGAAATTAAAATGTGATCTTGAACCGGTGGATCATAATTCAGAAGAATTTAAAATTATTGAAAAATATATGATAAATACTCATGCTAAAACGCACGATCAATATATATTGAAATTACGTGAATTATTTAAAACTGTACGTGAAGGAGAATTTGATCGTTTCAAGAAATTTCAAACACTTGATAATCATCAATTATTATGGCACGGTTCACGAACAACTAATTTTGCTGGTATACTTAGTCAAGGTTTACGTATTGCACCACCTGAAGCACCTGTCGTATGTTTTATTTCTTTTTTTTCCTCATTAATATTTGTTTTCAAAATTATATCTTAGACTGGTTATATGTTTGGTAAAGGTGTTTATTTTGCTGATATGGTTTCCAAAAGTGGTAAGTTAAAATTTTAGTTATTTAAATATAATCTCAACACATAATTTAGCAAATTATTGTTTCACATCAAAACAATCTCCTGAAGGATTAATGCTTTTATGTGAGGTAGCACTTGGAAAAATTCATGAATGTTATAAAGCAACAGCTTTATCTGCATCAACTCTACCATCTGGTACTCATTCAACAAAAGGTTGTGGATCAACAACACCAAATCCGAAAGGTTCAATTTATTTTGAAAATAAAATGTTTTTAATTAAAATTTAATTAATTTTTTTATACAATAGAATATTATTATACAAATGATGGTGTACTTATTCCGATGGGTCAAGGTGTTCCAGCAGATATCCGACAAACTTCATTATTGTACAATGAGTACATCGTCTATAATACTGATCAAATCAACATGAAATATCTTTTACGTATTGATTTTCAATATAAATATTAATAAATAATTTGTTTTATTTTTCTCTAACTTGAAAAAATTATAGATTCCATATTTTTTCTCATCTTTTATTTTGTGATATATAAACACAGGAGAGAAAAGAAAAACTTGATTATGAAAGAAGAACTACTCTTTCCTTTTGATTTATTTCTACTATGTTATTTCCTTTAATGTTCAATGATTGACCAGAATTTAACTTGAGAATAAATCATGAAAAATGAAGATACATTTTGTTTCTTTTCTTAAATTTTTGTAATTAACATTTCAAAATGACGATCATTTGATCTGTTTTATTTTACAAATCATAGGTGATCATTTCTTTTAGAATGCATTTCGAATATTATCCATCAGTGAAGAAAATATTCCTTCAATCTATGTGCTTGAATTTATCAATAGAATGATGCAACGATATATTATGTAAATTGTATATGCACAATCGTTTTCTTCATTCACTCAATACGAGACTATCAGATTTTAATTATCTGTCACTTCAACATTATAGAAATCATTCAGAAACATCGAAAAGAATCCTAGAGGTTTGAAACATTGTTGAAATTAGTTTAAACCGAGACATGAATCAATCGTATCATTTACTTTTATTTTGTTGTTCATCAACTAATTGTTTAGCAATGAGTGAATAAAAAAAAAACGTTACTTTTCAAAAATATTCTTTTCCCGTGTTTAAAGTCGACACTGATCATCCATAATTTGAATTTAATCAGTTAATTTCAATTCTATGATTGAAAATATCAACTGATTTATTCAAAGACAATAGTTAAACATTGCTGAATATTGCAAGCATCAAATGATAGAAGAAAACGTAGTGATCAGAAGCTACCCAAAATACACACTACTGAGCATTGAATCTCAATATAGAAAAAGCTCACGATCTATTTTTATGCTCTCATCAAGGCGATTGCAATTTAAAATAATTGTCGATAGGATAAATGCCTGATCGATTGTGACTAAGATACATTTAAAATATGAGATTCATTTATGAATAGTAGTGGATCATTATTTGAACTTCTATTTGTAATACTTTTCCGTATATAATCTGTTCTAATAACTTCATTGACTTTTGACAACGAATTGATTTTTGTTAGTTCAAAAGCTCTTCAATGAGCAGTGTTCACACAGACAACGGATACGAATTGATACATTTTAGAAGAAACATACCAGAGTAATTTCTTATTGTGTAAATACCACAGAGAACACGATTATTTTGAAGAACAGTTTTTCTGACCTTCACTCTGATAATCAGAAGTTTTTTCCTCTGAAGATTTGTAGGCCAGTGTGATTTTCACCGAAATTAAGATCACAGGAATTTGGCGATGAGACTTTCGGCAATCTCTGTCATCAATTGTTAAGATTAACTTTAATGATCGAAACTATCATTGCTTCTTAGAAATGATATTCTCAGTATTACAAATCATCTCAGCTTATAGCTTTCAGTACTTATTCGACCACGCAATTGTACATAGATGACGAACTTTAATGTCTACTTTGAATGAAGAGCCAAATTAGTGACTAATTTAAAACAAAAGACAGTCAGAAGATATGCAACGACCTGGATTTCACAATTAAGAAATGCTGATGCAGCACACCTACTGGAAAATCAAATCAAATTGTTCTATAAAATAGCATTGGTTAAAAATAAGTAACCAATAGATGATGCATGATTCTATATAGAGGTTTGTTTTCATCTTATTCTATACGGTTAAACATCACGTTATTATTATTTTAGTAATTTCGTTCCTGTTAATATATTCATTCAAAGTGTCTTTATTTTCAGATCTTCATCATGCCTAAATCTAAACGATCACAACGTATAACAATATCGAAATCATCAAAAAAATTGAAAGCAAATCGTGGTCTTGAACTAAAACAAGAATTAGTTAAAAAGATTCGTTCACGCTTTGATGAATGTTCACATTTATTTGTTGTTCGTCTTTATAATGAACGTACGGAAAAATTACAAACAGTTCGTGCACATTTTCCACCGTCTGAATCATCTTTTTTTTTCTTTGGAAAAAATCGTGTGATGCAATTGGCTTTAGGACGAACACCAGCAACAGAATATTTACCATCATTAGCAAAAATATCTCCATATCTTGTTGGAAAAGTTGGTTTAATGCTAACAAATCGATCACCTCAAGAAGTTTTAGAATATTTTAATAAATTAGAAATGCAAGATTACGCAAGAGCAGGAAATCATGTTAAAGAAACTGTTGTGATTGATGAAGGACCATTAGATGGTTTTCAGCATACAATGGAACCTTTATTACGGTCTTTAGGTTTAATGACAACTTTGAAAAAAGGCATTATTCATTTACTTCAACCATATACTATTTGTTCAAAAGGTGATGTTTTAACGCCTGAACAAGCAAAGTTATTGAAGCTATTTCAACGTCCATTAGCACAATTTAAAATAAAAGTTAAAGCACATTGGAATAAAAAAAATGAACAAGTCCAAGTGTTCGATTTACAAGACGAAGATGATGAAGATGCTGATCAAGAAGCAGAAGAAATGATTGAACAAGATGATGAAAATTAATTTTCGCTTTTGCTTTTTTTGTTATTTCGAACGAGTCTATTAAAATCTTCTGCTAAAAACCATCATAGTGATGGTTTTAAACTGTTTTGAAATATTTATTCCTTCAATTATTGATCATACATTGCTTGAAACATGTTTCGCAAACAAATTATCAAAATAGATTTTTGTCTATAACTTTTTTCAAGCGAAGATAGAAAATTAAAACAGAAAATCACAATTAGCATTTTCAAAGATTTTCGGAGTGTGGCATATATTTACAGCTCAGAAGATGTGCGTGCCAATTCTAAAATACCAACGACGATTCGATGACATTAAATCTATCTAGACAGTGTTTATGTTCGAGTCGATTTTGATTAAAGCATTCATATCTGTATTCACTGCATTATTGCATCAGAAACTTTATTAATCTATGTCAATTCTGTAGTAGTATATTCGTTTGCTTCCGTAATTGTTAATATCACGGTGCACTAACTATAGCGAATCAATATACATCCAATAGGACATTAATGAAAATTTCGAAAACCCTTCAGGATCATCATTACAGACTAAACGGAAGAAACCTATTTCGAATTAAAATATTGATAGTTCCCTGATTATCTATGTCAGAAGATCGTTGTTGTAGTATTGACAACGATGATGACACTTGCATCATGTGCAATATTCGACGGATGAATAGAATCGATACATATTCTAGCACTCGTTATTTTACTCGACGAGCCTAACCTCTATGTATATTTCTACCGTTACACTTAATATAGTAGTGATCCATCTCACATCATGTCAAGAGACTAATACTAAAGATCATTCGCTCGGAAAATACCGCTTCTATAGTAATGAGCTATCAAGATGATTCTTTCTGCTTATTAGTTTATCGAAGATAAAGGAAACCATCAATTACTACATTGACAATAATCATCAGTATTACAACTGCAATTGAACTGGCACCTAGTTTTTTACATTTATGGTAAATTTAATGAACAGTTGATCTTATGTGATTAAAACAGCATTTCTATTTGAAGATGAGTAATACAGCTGATGGCCACTATTTAAAAATTATAAAAAGTCAAAATAATTGATATTTTCGTGAGAATACAAAAAGAGAACCAAAATGTTTTTTTTTCCTCCTAATAATAATTTTATATTGTAACTAGCCACCTTGCAATCATACTAAATTTAATGGAAAATTAGGTTCTTTGAGTTTTTATAAAGTAATTCATCTGTCCCTAGATCTGACCATGGTATAATTCCATTAGATAAATGATATTAATTAACCAACATGGAATACGACAGATAGAATTCTGTTATCTACAGCGTACAATAAGAAAATGCATAGAATCAATGAACCAAAGTGACATCTGTCGGAAGACAAACGTTTCGTTTCTCCAATGGAAAAAAATAAATAGTTAATCATTGAAATCCGCCCGATGGTGATGATGATGACGATTATTTATCGATTCGCACTTGGCTGTTGACTGATTGTTTGTTTTTTGTTTGTTGAGTTACTCTTTGATTCATCAATACAACTTACCTTGAGTAAAAAAACGATGACGGAAGGAGACGAAAATGGCATTTTCAAAATGCCATAACTGCATATATTTGTGACACTTGCATATTCTTCTATGTAAATTTTCTTATCAGCATTGAATAGATTCATACTCGTATAGATTTTATATTTTCTTGCTATTTTCATTGTAGATATTTATTTATTTATTTCAAGCTAATTGACAATGAGTGGTAATAAAGGTGGTGTATTATCTCGAGTATTTGGTGGTTCGTCAAAAAGTGGTGCTAAAACAAGAACAGCTCAAACACCACAAGAAGCTATACAACAGTTGCGTGATGTTGAAGATGTTCTAAATAAAAAAGTTGAACATTTAGAGGGGAAAATTAATGAAGAAACAGCAATAGCTCGTCGTGATGCAAGAACAAATAAACGTAGTGCATTGAATGCACTCAAAAGAAAAAAACGTTTAGAAAAAACATTACAACAAATCGATGGAACTTTAACAACACTTGAATATCAACGTGAAGCTTTACAAGTAAATCAATAATAAAAACAAAAATCCAATTTATGAACAAGATTCTGATTTTTGTAGAATGCTTCAATGAATGGTCAAGCATTTAATGCACTTAAAAGTGCAACAAGTGCTTTAAAAAATGTTCATAAAGAACTTGATGTTGATAGTGTTCAAGACATTATGGATGAATTAGCTGAACAGCATGAATTATCAAATGAAATTGCTACTGCTATTTCAAATCCTGTTGGTATGATTTATTCACTTCGTTTTTATTAAATAGGAAATTTTGCTCAGGTTAATTATATACTGATGAAAATAATATTTTTAGGATTTGGTGCTGAAATCGATGAATTGGAATTGGAAAATGAATTGGCTCAATTAGAACAAGAAGCGATCGCAAAAGAAATTTCTCAAATTGATTTACCATCAGTTCCAGCACCAGCATATGCCCAACCAGCCGCTGCAGCATCTAGCAGAGCAAAGAAAGATGAACTGGCTGAATTAGAACAGTGGGCATCATAAAATATTTGCTTTTCTCTTTCGATTTAAAAAACAAAACAAAAATAATTAAAAGACCGGTTGTTGCCAGTGCATTTCCTCCTTTTTTTGTTGTTGTCTTCTCGTGTCTTACATCATTTATGTTTCTGTTCATTTTTTCGTACATGTAAACGTGTGTCTCTTCAACCAATATGATTTATATAAAACACAAAGGTTCTATTAGTTATTTCACAACAGAAGTGTTCTACTTCAAAGAGAAAATTTCGTTGATTTCTATATTGATCATTATATATTCTAGACTAGCTCGGTTGTTTCATGCTGCTCTGTATAATTATGTACTTTTCCTTTTCCTTTTCCTTTTTTTTATATTTATTCTTTAAATCTGTATAACATCAACAAGATCAATGATGGAGAAAATAAAATAGATATTTCCCGTTCTTTTGGGATTTTTATTTTTTATTTTTATACTTTTATTCTTTCATTTTTTATTCGTTGTATTTTTTATTTATTTGACATTATGTGCGATGGATTCAATTAATCAGATTTATCCTATTATTATCTTTTAACATTTTTGCTTTGTCCTATTTTGATATATTTTATACTAGTGTTTATTTTACAACAGGCTGCTATCTTGATTTCTATTCTAGAGCGAACTTTTTATAAGCAATATCATTCTAATGCAGGAAGAAATATAATTAATTTCGTATAGTTAAGCTATTTGAAATAGGCTAATAGATAAAAGGTATCTGTTGTTCAGCTGTCCATAATCCTATCTATAATTGTAAATTTCTTTAGATAAAAATCGTTTATACATATACTATTTACTATCACATGAATCGGCGAAATAAAACTATTTTATAATTTTTTTGATAATTCTTATTTTTTTAAAGTATATAATCTAACATTAAACTAATATTTTTGAGAATTGATTTTTAAATTTACTTATGAAACATTGAAACCATTAGTTTTTGTCTCGTGTAGATTCATTGTATGACATGATAGGAATTCTATTCGTTGATTCTCTTTCTGTTATATTCCCTAAAAATAATTTATGATTTAATTATATTTTATTGTGTTTTAATTTTTGCATTTTTATCTATTTTAGATTATCGATTATCATATATTTGACATTCTTATTATTAGCTATTACTATTAAGAATTCTTAGACATTTCTAAAGTTTTTCGTGAATGTTAAAAATCAAATACTTCTACCATTGGAAAATATTTTCAAACAATTCCTTTCCTATGTCTATTCAGATCACATTATATAATAATTAAATCATTTCTTGACTTATTGCTAATTTCTTATAGGATCTGCCAATGCTTCCATTGCTATGATTAGCTAATCATACTTGTGATAAATATTGAACACCTTACAATATGATTTAGATGAACTATTGAAATTTTCTAAATTTGTTCAATAAATAATTGAATACGATCATCTTTTGATTAAGCAAGATATAATAGATCAAATAAAAGTCTATAGATATTTTTCCAGATATGAATTGCTTATCTTCTGATATTGATACTCATTTTCCAGTTGCTGGCTGTCTACCTAAACAGCCAACTGGTGCATTGCAATTATTAACGAAATATCCTCAATATGATGGACGTCAAATAACAATTGCTGTTATTGATACAGGCATTGATCCATTAGCCAGTGGTCTTCAAGTATTTCTTTTTTTTCTATTTCAACAGATTGATTCAAAATAAATGTGTTTTGTTCTTTTTAGAAAACTACAACAGGACAAGAAAAAATAATTGATCTGCGTGATAGTACCGGGAGTGGTGATGTTGATATTTCAACAGTTGTTAAATTAATATCAAATAGCAATCCAGAAGATCGATCTATTCAAGGCTTATCAGGAAGAAAATTGAAAGTAAAAGAAAATATTTCATAAAGTAGAATTTTTTTCAAACTTATTTCAAGATTCCATTCAATTGGAAAAATCCAACGGGAAATTTTCATATTGGAATCAAATCATTAAAACAATTAATGCCAAGTTCTGCTTTTGAGCGACTTATTGTAATTTAATGTTTGGTATTAAATAAAATTTATTGCTTTAATATAATTAATAGAAGGAACGTCGTGAAAAAATGTTTGATTCTGAACATCGTCTTGCTTTAGCTGAAGCTCAGCGCCGTCTTGATGAATATATTAACAAATATTCATTACCGACTGAAGTTAGTCTATTACATTGAATTTATATAATTACTCGGGAAAATTTTATTTTTATTTTTATTTATTTTTCAAGGAACAAAAATTAACGCGAGAAGAATTTCAATCATTTGTTGATGCTTTAAAAGAAGTAGAAAAGAAATATAATGATCCTGGTCCATTTCTTGATTGTATTGTTTGGAATGATGGAGATAAATGGATGTTAGTTCAGTTTTAGATAACGAAAAAAAAATCAGAGCATAAAATTTTTGCAATACTTTTATTTTTATTTCAGTGCCTGTATCGATACAAGTGAACAAGGAGATCTGGAGAAATGTAGATGCTTAACAAATTATGTTGATTCTCATGAATTTGCAACATTTAGTGTAATTGGTAAACAACAACTAGAAAATAATTGAAAGATATTTCATTCTTTAATACATCAATAGATATGGTTACTTATTCAGTTCAAATTCATCACGAAAATAATATTCTTGAAATTGTTGTCGCTGGAGGTTTGTTATTGCTATTTTTAGTATCTTCATAAATTCTTTAAGATTTGACATTGATATATGAAATATAATAAATCTAAATTCAAAACCTATATAATCTACCAAAAAATAGTTGAGTCTATCGAGAAAACGAGATCATTCGTTGTCGTCGATATTGATTTAGATGTTTATGAATTGATTTCAGACAAAAATTGTTTTTCAAAGAATTGATCACTTGTTCTTTTAACTCAAAAAATAATCATTTATTAGTCACTTTATTCGATTAATTGAAAAAATTTTAAAAAAATAATATTTTATGAGATTCGTCTAAATCTTCTAATGGTAATAATTTTTGCGCAATCATCTCGCTTATTTAAATTTATTCTTTCATATGCAAATAGATATTGTCGGAGTTGTATTATTTAATTAATAGAAGTAACAATAAAGCATTCATCTTTTGTTAAGTAATTGCTTTAAAAGGATAGAGACAGATCTAAGTAGAACAACATAAATCTGCAGGCATCATCTATATGTACCTATTTTTTTTTTTATAAAACGTGGTTCATTTATCTGATAAAAGCTTTAAATAAGAAGAAATATATATATATATATATATTGTTTTAATCGATAAGACAAATGATTATCAATAATTGTTCATTTTCGTGCAACAGAATTCTTGGTCTCTATTTTCTCCTATCATCTATTCTTTGAAGTATTATACGCACAATGTTCAGAATTTTTAACTCTCAGAATATTACAGACGGAAAGTTGACGAATATGTTCGAAGAATTCTTCTGAAGGCAAAAAATAAATAAATTATGATTTCGATTAAAATTTTGTTTTGTTCTCTATATAAATATTCGTATAAAACTTTCACTGAAAATCTTTCTTTTTAAAACTACTTGCTACTGAATATGTTAGTCGAAAAGATCAATAGTATAGTTCACAAAAGAAAAACTTTTGTAAAAGAAGAGCACAAGACTTCAACGGAACAGAAACGATCGAGAAAAAAGAATTGACTGAATTTGTTATTATAATTACAAAGATAAATGATCTGTTATAATTGTTTTCTTAAATGATTATGTGACTTGAAAACCATTGATATTCAACAACTGATAATCATTATTAGATTAAAGAATAAATGAAGTATCTCTTGTTCAGTACAAAAAAAAATATGAAATGGAATCAAGATTTGACAAATTTATTTTGCTTAAAATGTGAATAATACTATTTTGTTTAGGTTCTCATGGAACTCATGTTGGTGCCATTTGTGCTGCTTATTTTGGGGAATCATGTGAAGAGAATGGAATTGCGCCTGGTGCGCAACTTTTATCAATTAATGTTGGTGATCATCGTTTATCAACAATGGAAACAATACCATCTTTAGTTCGAGCTGTTTGTTTCGTGTTTATTTTATTTTCTAGTCAAATTTAATATTTATTTTTTTATTAGATAAAATATTGTATCGATTATAAAGTTGATATAATAAACATGAGTTATGGCGAAGATTGTCAGATTCCAAATGCTGGGTAATAGTCTATTGAAAAGCTTGAAGTCTATTTCATATGTATTATAGACGAGTTCAAGACTTATGTAATGAAGCTGTTGAAAAACATGGAATAATATTTGTTTCATCAGTTGGTAACAATGGCCCAGCACTAAGTACAAATAGTGCACCTGGTGCGACTTGTACGAACCTTATTGGTAGGTAAGTTACAGTTAAAGTTAAGATGGTAAAACTATTTTTCTTTTATTTTTTTAAAGGTGTTGGTGGATATGTAACACCTGAAATGCAATTAGCTGAATATGCATTAAGAGAGTCAACAGGTTGTACAACACCATTTACTTGGTCATCACGTGGCCCATGTACTGATGGATGGTTAGGAGTTTGTATTAGTGCACCTGGTGCTGCTATTACAAGGTCTCATTATTTTAATTTTAAATTCAAGAGACAACGGGTTTTATTTTACAATCTTTAGTGTTCCTAAATTTATTTTATGTCAACGGCAATTAATGAATGGAACTTCGATGTCATCACCAAATGCTGCTGGTTGTATCGGTAAATTTAGATTGAATTCTTTGTCCTACGTATTTTGGTATTTTTGTTTTAGCTCTTTTGTTAAGTGCATTGAAACAAGAAAATATTGAATATAGTCCACCATTAATTCGGCGTGCACTAATGAATACAGCACAAAAATTAGATGATGAATTTTCTGTCGGTGCTGGTCTTTTACAAATTCATAAAGCTTTAGATTATATTCGTTCATTAGCTAAACCATCACTAATATCAAAAATTCAATTAGATATAATAGGTGGTCAAGGACGCGGAATTTATTTAAGAGAACTAGATCAAGTTCAAGTTAGTTCAGGGGATATAGGTCTAACAATTAAACCAAAATATATGGCAAAAAAGACTGATCAAACAGTTACATATGAAGGTATTTTGAAGTTTCTTTTTTTTTCTTTTTTTCTTTATCAAGGAAGAAAACACATTTTACTTTAGATCAAGAAATAAAAATAAATTTTGCTTGTCGTTTATCATTAATATGTGATCCACCGGCTAGTTATGTTCAACATGGAAAATTTCTTGATTTAGCTTTTAGTGATCGAACATTTGATATTAAAATTGATCCATCCCATTTACAACAAGATCAAGCTCATTTTACTGAATTACAAGCATTTGATGTCAATCAAATTAATGCAGGACCATTAGCACGTTTTCCAATAACAATTATAAAACCAATAACGTAAATATTTTGTAGATTGAAAGTTAGATTCTAAAAAACGTCTTTTCATTATTTTCTTTTAAAGAGTGAATCCACAAACACATTCTCTCGAATTCAATTGTCAATCATTTAAAGCTGGTCAAATCCGTCGTCATTTTCTTCAAGTTCCATCTGGTTCAAATATAGCAGGTTTGTTTTATTTATTTTTTGTACATCTAATTTGATTTGTTTTCTTAAAATAGCGTTTAAAATAACAAATCGTTCATGTGATACATCCGCTAAAATCAATTTACATTTTATCCAATTAGAGCCAGGTCGTTCGTTTCGTGCAACAGAATTTGAAAAAATAATTCGTCTATCTCCTCATTCAACATTTCAATGTTATTTTAATGTACAAGATAAACGAACATTAGAATTATGTTTAGCACGATGGTGGTCATCTCTCGCAATTGTTGATACAAGCTATTCTATAGAATTTCATTCAATAATCATTTCACCTTCAGTTTCAATGCATTTACGTAGTAGTCAATCGTACGAAAGATTTATTTTAGAAAATCGTTTAAATAATACTTATGAAGATATTAATGGTTTACCTATTATTAATTGGAAATATTTAGTACAAACACTAAGACCAAATAAAGATGAAAGTAAAATACAAGTTTTGTCAAAAAGAGATTGCTTAACTGAACAAAGACAAATCTATCAATTGATTTTAACTTATAATTTAGCACTAGTAAGATTCATTTGTTTAGTTTAGTTTTCTTATTTAGAAAACAATTTATTTTCAGTTAAAAGCTTCGGATATTCAAATAACATGTCCCTATTTACATGAATTACTCTATGATAATGAATATGAAGGTGCATTATGGATGTGCTTTGATACGAATAAACAATATTTAGGTGCAGGAGATGTTATGAAAAATGTAAGAAATCAATCGTCTACTTATCTCTCTATATATATATATTATAGTTTTGTTTTTAGTATTCAGTTAAATTAGAAAAAGGTGATTTTATTATTCGAATGCATATCCGACATGATCAATGTGATTTATTGGAACGTTTATTAAAAGATAATGGTGGAACTGGTTTAGCTTTACATATTGCACATAAAGTCAATGGATTACCAGCACCTGATTTTTATCATTCATTAAGTGCTTTACATACACAAAAGAGAAAAATTCAAGCATCATCTATTAAATTACAATGGGGACATCAACAACCTATTTATATGACCACTGTACAAGAAGACAAGTTTGTTTGATTTGTTTTTCGTTAAACAATCATATATATATATATATATGTTCGATTTAAATTCAAGACTTCCAAAAGTAATCAATTCAACCACGGGAACATTTCTTTTTGGAACGATGACAATTCCCATGAATGAAAAAATGAAAAAAATGGTTTGAATTAGCTTTTAGGTTTGTTTTATAAGAGCACATACATCAAATATTGACTTTTAGGAAATGAATACTATTTATCAATATTTTACTGAACCTTGTTTATCGTCGTCATCAAGTTCATCAAAGAAGTCTTCATCAAGTAGTGCTAATAGTACTAACAAAAAACAAACGAATCCAATCATAACAACAACTGACGATGGAATATCCAATAGTCAATCACAAAAAGATCAACAATATCAAGAAGCATTAAGAGATTTAAAAATTTCATGGGTTCCAAAGTAAAATAAATTTATTGTTTTACTGCTTTTTTCTCTTTAAATAATTTTCTATAGATTAAGTGATGATCAAGGTAAATTATATGAAGAATTATTATGTGAACAACAAGATTTGACTAATCATATTCCACTACACATTGCTCGTCTTCAACAACTTGAAAATCAATTAAAACAGCAGCAATCTAATTTAACAACAGAAAAGAAAGATGAAAAATTAAATGAAATTATTAAGTTTATTCAAGACAAACTTTTATCTTTATTCAATGAAGATCTTATTTTGAACTTTTTTGGTCAAAAAAGTTCATCATCGAACGATAAAGATATTCAAATTATTAAAAGGTATTTAGCAAAGAGAAATAAATATTTTTATAGAACTTATTTTTGCTATTTAAGTGATATGGAAAAACGTCGAAATTGGTTTATTGATATCTACGTATCATTAGGACTATCTTTATGTGAATTATCAACAATCAATGATGATACATTAAATTATTTAACAAATATTTATAAAACATTACAAAAACATATTGATATTAATGATGGAAAATTAACAAATTTTCTTTATAAATATAATTTAGTTAAAAAATCTTATGGTCGTGTATGGAAATTACTTTTAAAACAAATTGAAGAAAAATCTGCATCACAACACCAAGAATATGATAATAAATTACTTCAAGTAAATTCGTTTTTTTTAATTTAATTTAAATAAGATTATTCTTTATTTTGTTTTTAGCTTTATCAAGCAATGAATATGAAATATTTAATTACATATCAAGAACGTTTACTTATTGCTAAATATCCTCAGGCTTATGTTCTATTTTAGTTCTTTTTTTCTTTTCGTCACAATCTACATTTAATAAACAGGAAATATTTAAGATTGATATAAACAAAAATAGTTTTCTGTTTGTCTACCAATAATCACAAATTCTAATAGATTCTCTTTAATGAATGATATGCATTTCTTTTCTTTTCATATTTGAAGACATAATAATGACTATAGACGATAGTACAATCGATATTCATTTCACTAAACTTGTTGGTTCGTTTGACGGTTATTTTTGTTTTCGTTATATATTTAATTATTTGATAGACTGGCTAGTCGATCGTCGTCATTGTTCAAAAGATTGGAATGAACGATCAATAGCGATTCGAGCTAAAATTCAACAGGCTATTTTAGATCTACCAGAGCACGATGGAGTTAAACGACTACTTGGCTCATCATGTATGAAGGTTATTTCTCTTCGATTTTTATTATTCAGTTTATTTGATAGATTTGGATTATTTTTGTTGTCTTAAAATTGTTGAAATACTAAAAGAAACAGAAAAAGAAAGTAAAAATATGTTTGGCATGTATTCATCACAACGGATGAAAGTATGCAAAATAATTCTATCTTACTTTTTATTATTTTCTAATATTTAGGACTGGCGAACAGTTGTTTCAAATTACGAAAAAAATTCTGTTTATCTTGGTTTGTTCAATTTTCTTGCTTTTTTCTTTTTGTTTTTATTTCGTGTGTCTAGTTGAATGTGCTCAAATTCTTCAACGAAATGTTGCTTTTGAAATTCCTGCATTAAAAAAAACTATTGGAAAATGTCAACAAATTCGAGAAGAATGTCATACACGTCATGCAGAATTAGATAAAAATATTCATGAAATTGAAAAACAATATGCACAATTGTGCAATGACATGTCAATTAAAGTTAGTAGATTATTTCATTGGTTTCATTTTATATATTTTACTTTATTTTCTTAGGGTGATAATGTTCAACGAGAATTAATTCAACGTATTGAATGTTTACCAAGTATATGTACCGAGTTAGCTAGTGGCGATCAATGTTCCATTCCATCATTAAAATCAGCTGTCGAATTTTATATTGACTTTATGAAACATTTCCATTCATCATCAAAATCTGATAGCGAAGAATTTTTATCCGTAATTAAATATTTAATTGAAAATGGAAATACAACTGTCTATCAATGGCGAACTGGCGGACATATTCCTGTTAGCATTGAACGATTACCATTAAATTATAAATTCGCTGAAACAACAGAAGTTACGGAAGACGAACCAAATATTATTCTTGGATTAGATGATGATTCAACAACATCAATTGAAGGTATCGAAGTCAAACAAACAGCAAATCAAACTGATGTCATTGATTTTGATACTGTAAGAAACGTTGTTTCACTTTCTTAATTTTTAGTTATACCTATTTCTAAATCTACGTAGGAAGCAGAAATTGATTGGTCTGCTATTGATACAGTACCAGAATTACTTGATCCAGCTCTTTCATCGAATGGGGATCATCCGAATTTACTTGTTGATGCTCTTCGAGAAGCTGCTCTAAATGGATCGAATCATCCAAGTATGTTATTTGATGTCTTCTGCTTTTCTTTTTCTAAAGAATAGAACATTTTATTTCTTTGACTAGTTGATGATGGTATTGCGCGTGGTAATGATGCATTGACATTATTAGAAAATCGTGCAACATATACATTATTTATTCATGAACTCCATCGAGTTAGTTTAATTCATATCATATCGAAATTATAAATAATTTTTCTTCGTTCTATTTCGAAGCTTCAATCATTTTTGAAACAACGTCTCAATGAATATCATGTCAATGAAACTATTCTTATGACATTTATCATGCAAAATGCGCCTACATCAATACAAAAGATAAATGAAAATGGTTAGAAAATCATTTCAAACGTTATCTTTTATTTTTTTTTATTAAAGATTTAAAAACTTATTTGAAAAATGTTGATTCGATATTTCAATCAATTAGTCATCGACAATTGGATCGTTTATTTTCGATGCGGGATTCCTACAAATTTGTTGATCGTCTTATAAATTGTTTTCAACAAAAGAAACTTTCAATTGAAAGAAATCGTTTCCAAGAAAAAGAATTAGAAGAAAAAGCTTCAAGTTCTTTAACAGAAGAACAGCAATTGAAAGAAAAACTCAATCTACTAATTTCATACACTAAACAATTGAAAGAACAGGTTACATCGATTTTTCTTTAAATGGATAAAAGATTTCTATGAAATAGTTTTAGGTAGCGAAAGAAATTTCTGTGAAAAAATGTCAAAATCGACGTATCAATATAATGGGTGAAATCAATACATTATAAAAATATTTAACTTATTTATTCTTTTCGAAAATTTTGTGCAATCTGTGTGTGTGTTGAATTTTATTTGGAGAAAATGGGTTTTATTATGGTCCATAAAGAAATAAAACAGTTGAAACAAATTTTTGAACCACATTCCCGTTATATTAANGTGATGTAACAGTTGTTCTACGTATTGTTGAACGTAATGATGCATATGTTGTTACAATAAGACCTTGTCAAACAAAATCTTTATATACAAAACTATCAGTTCAAGACTTAGTTTTATTTGATATTGTTGCATAATTATTTTAATCATCAATTGTATCTAAATAGAAATTTTAAAAATTTAAATTAAATGAAAGTGAATTTAAAAACATAATTTCCTACTTGATGATCGAGCTGCATCTTCATCATCATCACTGTTATTTTCAACGATTCCTTCATCACTTTCATGTATTGTCGATGGTGTCGCTATTGTTGATTTTCCAGTTAATGATTGTTCATTATCATGTAAAGATATAGATTTTGGTGAATGTGTATTTGCTAATTTTAAACTATGTCGAGCTGGTTCAAGTGTACGAACTAATATATTTTGTTGATGTAGAGCTGAACCCTTTAAAGTTTTAATACCAGTTGTACTATTTATTCTAATAGATTTTAAATGTAATTTGATGTGTTGTTAAATCTTTCGGTAGTATAACTCCTTTTTTACGTAAGATATGTCGCGTATAACGATTTGCCATTCTTCCATGTTAGCTTCTAGAGCATTCTTTTGATATGTACTTATTTGATCTTTTGTAATGAAGCCTGAAAATTACGTTTTGACAATAGGATGAATAATATAAACTTGTTTCACCTGCTAATTTTGGATCACTAAAATCTTTTGTTTTGTCTTTGCTTGGTTTCAATTTCACATTTGATAATTGTTCATCAAATGAATTACTCATCTTCTTGTTTTTTATCTATCTGAAATCAAAGGGAATCGCGGTCAATATTTCAAGTTTATTTTCTTTTTGTTATTTTCAAATATTTTTTTACAAATAATCAGTTTTAAAATCATTGATGTAACGTAGTATGATCATATTGCAATCGACTAAATAAAAATGTAGACTAAGACTGTAAGCCATCATTATATTAAATTAATATTTTTCATTGCGTATGTATATAACATAGACCGCAATAAATTGGTCTATTACATAAAGTCCTTGGTAGGGATCATAATTACTCATCAGAATAAAAATAATTTAGCTAAAGGATTTTTTTGCAAAGAGAACTGAAAGAAAACTTATTGGCTAAGAAACCTACCAGCGGTGTAACTCGTCGAAAACGAATTATCATTTACTAATACAAGAGTGAAAAGCAAATGACGATGATGTAGATGGCTACACCAAGTGAAACATTTTCGTCTATATGCATTCGTCGAAATATGAAGAACCAGTGTCTTATAGTTTAAAAAGTATATTATAAATCGACAAAAAGAGGAGAGTGTGTATGTGTCAGTGGTCAGCACACCAATTATCATTGAAACGAGAAGCTACCATATATAAAGTATCAGCTTTCATTAGGCAATGGTCCTATAGAGCAGTGCCATCTAGAAGCCGTATGTCTTTGATTTGCAATTAAAAAAAAGGTAAGTTTAAAAAAAATAGTTCAATGCATATGTTTCTCTTTGTATTTATTTGTCCATTGGTTGTTTATTTATCATTCGATGTAATTTTGCTTTCATGAATCATGAACATTGCCAGTGATGAGCAATGTTCGAAAATAAAAGAAGAATGAAGAGAAAATTTCTCATTTCTGCTTAATCAAAATTATATAAACCAGTGATCAAGTAAGTCAGCACATACTCTATTCTGAATGAAGATTCAAAGTCCGTTGAATAAAATAATTCTAAAAATTGCTGATATCTATTTATTGTCGTAGAAAACGAAATTTTGAAATGAATGATCTTGGCAAAATCGATACGTTTTGTTACAAATGTATAGAACAAAATCGAATTTGCAATATGCAACATCGAGAACTACTTGTTCATCTTACTCTTCTGAACTTCAATGAAGAAAATATTCGGGTTTGCAATTGTTGCCGTCATGGTATTAACGATCATTTTGATGATGGTGGGCACATTATTTACATTTAAAATTTGAGAATGTCGTAAACTATAAAGTATTCGTCAATATGTAAACAGAATCATGGGAACGATCTGTGACATGTCTCTCTTAAGGATAATTTTACAACAAAGAAGAAAAGGTCTTCAACTTTACTTATGCCATGTCAGAGATTGGAATTTCTAATTTATATCGTTCGAGAGAATTTTTTCTTCAATGAAGTTTTGCATGATTTACTATAAATACAATTGTGAAAATCGTATTGGACTCTTTCGAAATTTTACTGTATCAACTTGATACTGTTCAAAAAGATGTCATTTCATCTCTTTTTTGTTGGAAAGAGCAGTCTTTAGCGTAAACACATACAAATGAGATCATTACAAATGTTTGTTAGTTGAGAACAGAAAGTATTGAAAAACTGTGGAGTGTGGGTGTTCCGTGAATATGTATCAATATCAACATTCATCCCACACCCATAAAAGATTGACTTTTATGTTTCTTCTTGTTGTTGTAATTTTTTATTTTTTATGCGTCATCATGATAACAAAGTGTCAGAAGATACAAAAAAATTACAAAAATATATGCCCCGACGGCAATACCAATATTTTGTTGCAGGTGGCTTGCTATCAAACTGGTTGACACACCTTAAAAAAATTTATATTAATTCGATATATATATAAAACACATGATATTATAGCTCAGGGTTCGAATATTTTCCGTCGCGATTCAGCCCCTGCTCGATTTCAACTAAGCCACGCCAGTCCCAGGCAGAGTCTGACGAGCTGTATCCGATTGGAAACTGTTCCCGAGAAAAAAATAGTTATTCTGGTCAAAAGCTCGATTTACTGCCAAAAAAAGCTGTAAATGGGGTGTGGGTGTGGGTGTGGGTGTGGGTGTGGGTGCGGATGTGGGTGCGGGTGCGGGTCTGGGTGTGTGTGGGTGTGCATTATTCATTGGCCCACACCCACACCCACACCCACATTTCTGGTAAATTTCAGTTTCATAACAACCAGATATGTCTCTAAAATCGTCAGGGATGCTAGTATCATAGTAGGAAACGGGATACGTGCGTAGATATATCTTTATTTGTCTCCTCCAGCGCATCAACTTTTGTAGAATAGTCATGACGACATCTCCACCTTTATCCAAATAATTTGTACTCAGAATCAGAACGAATACTTAGTACACACTTATTTAACTAAGTTGGGCTCAGGCGAAAGTTCGAAGTACAGTTGTGAAGTAGTAAATATTAGGACTTGTAGTTACTGTACTTGTACCTATCCAGTGTCTGCTTTCAGCATGAGTTAACATGTGTACGTAAATTATTAGTACCATTTAATCATGAGTATACTAATAATCCGTTGCATTTATTGCAAGACAAATGTTGCTGATCATTATTTACAAAAATAATATGAAAAGCTGACACCATTCGCTTAATTTTTATGTATTTTCTTCTCAGCTAATTTTATTGATCGATCATCATCGCTACTTAATTTTTCCAGCTTTTTTTAGTTAAAAGCTCTTTGTTCGTAATATTTGTGGTATTAGAAAGAAAGAAAAAAAAGAAATGAATTCTATAACAATATACACTGTACATAGTTATTGATTCCCTTACTTATATATCTTTTCAGAATATCAAATATTTGATATGAATTAGATGTCACTAAGCTAAAAAGAAGTCGGATTTTTTCGGAGTCGGAATCGGACTTCTGAAAAATTTCTCGTCGGAGTCGGAGTTGGAATCGGAATTGAAAAAAAAAATTTTTCGGAATCAGGTAGGGTTTCGGAATGGAAAATTTTTTTTTTCGGAATCGGGTCGGGTTTAGGAATCAAAAAGTGCGACTCCGCTGATCACTAGCCGTACGTCATCATATCAATTATCATTAAGATGAGAAGCTACCATAAAGTACCAGCTTTCGTCGAATCGGCATTGGCACTATAGACCGGCGCCATCTATGAACCTTACGTATCGGTTGTTTGTTTGAGAAGCTTCACATTATCATTGGTTGCCTTCCTGATCAATCATTTCATGTGGCTTTGTTTTTCTAAATGACGAGCATTCTTCTTTATCGTCATCGTCAATGCTCGTAAATGAACGAGTGCAGAGAAAATTTTTTCATTTTTATCAATCTAAATTATATAAAACAGTGATCAAGTAACTGAGTAAATACTCTATTTTCAAATGAAGATTCATAGTCGGGTGATTTTTTTTATTCAAACATGGCGATGTTTCTCATTGGCACACATAGTAACCAATGATTTTCTCTTGAGTTTCGTTCATAGCTCAACATAAAATAGTTCTAAAAGTTGTTGATATCTTATTATATTTGAATTTTTTTTAATTTGTCTCAGAAGCCGAAATTTTGAAATGACTGATCTTAACAAAATCGAATCATTTTGTTACAAATGTATAGAAGAAAATCAAATCTGCAATTTTCAACGTACAACACTTCTTGTATATCCCATTCTTCTGAAAGTCAATGAACAAAATATTCGCGTTTGCTATTCTTGCCATCATGGTGTTAATGATCATTTTGATTATGGTGAGTACACTGTTTACATTTAAAGTTTGAGAATTTCGTAAACTATGATACATTTTTGAAATCCTGCATTTTTTCACCACTTTCAATATGTAAACAATCATGTAGACTATCTGTGATATGTCCGTCGTAAGGCTAATTTTACACCAAAGAAAAAATATGTCTTCAACTTTCCTTATTTCATTTCAGAGATTGAAATCTCTATTATATCGTTAAAAGCAATTTTTTGTTCAACGAAGTTCTGTAAATAATTGGGTTTAAATAGAATTGTGAAAATCGTATTCTACTCTCGAAATTTTATTGAATCAATTTGATACTGTCCAAAATGATGTGATGGTGATACTGAAAAATATTTTCATCATCGATGCCTCTACAACATTTGCATATGTTCTATATGTAGTAGCCATTCTTCGCAGTTTATTCGATATGAAAACAATTAATATAATGGGTGAACCAAAAGTTCTGTATTCATTTTGTTTTGGATGCAGTACTGTCACTATATTTTGCAGTGGTGGCATCTCTTTGTTTATCAGAAAGAGCAGTGTCTAGTGTAAGCACATACAAATTAGTATCATTTCAAATGTTTGCTAGTTGAAAACAGAAAGCATTGCGAAACTTTCGCAGCGTTTATGAGAATTTTCAAATTTGAACAAATTTTTTGTTCTTTTCCTTCGGTATCTTTGAGAGTCCAATATATATGTATATAGTTGTTTAGTCAACGGAAGACCTTCATGTTGTAATAAGATAGTTGGTCTAGCATAGAAGCGCATATTCTTAGAAAAATTTTTAATTTCAATGTCTCACAGAGAAGCTGTATTTTATTTCGAACGATATCATGTAATAAAGGACTCATTAAAATATGGTTTTCATATGAAGCACTTCGTTTTGACAGTTTTTTTTGAACTAGAATGTATTTTGTAGGGGCTGTAATATAGAATGACAATAAATACATACATCAAAGGATATCATTCAAGCGCTAGTTTCAGCCGCAATGAAAATACAAAGCGCTTCTTTTTTGTCCAACTACCAGCACGTGCAAAATTCGGATTAGAATAATAAAAAAAACAAGATTAGTCATTTTAAATGAAATTTCTCTCCTGAAGCTCCTATAGCCTCTATCAAAAAATGTTAACGATATTTTTGCAGTAGAGACTTTACTCTTTCTAACAAAGAAGGGATGAAATCTTGATGAGATTCCGTTAAGTACTACGTTTGAAATAATTAATGCATTATTTTGGCTCATCCTTTATATTCTAAATGGCTTCACTTCATATACCTATGAATTCATTCTAGTATAATTAATGCCAAGCATTATGTGACAACTCAAGAAAAAGTTCAAATGTAAAAGTCGTTCAAGCTAAACTGTTGAATAGTTTATATCTTGTAAAAATAGACTAAATCTTCGTTATTCGTAGACTTTCATAAGATTTCATTTTGACTTATTTGTTTTTCTTTTCAAGATATATGGGCTTTTGTGCGTGAAAAAATGGGAAAAGCAAGAGCGTGGTTTATTAAGCAGCACAAGGAGTAATTTATCTTTTTCGTTGTTTTTTTCTTTTGAAAATAATAAACTTGTACTTATCAAACGACTGTTTCTATAGTAGCTCCAAGAGAAGAAATCATGTATGGTCAATAATGTGCTCTTGTTTTATCTTCCGATTTACCAAGCTTAAGTCAATGATGATGGTAATAGTCATTCAAGGGTGTGGCTGTTGATGTTGCGTTAATCCGTATCAACATTCATTCCACACGTACAAAAAAATAATTCTCAATTTCCTTCTTCTCATTTTTAATTATTTATATATCGTTAGAGGAACAAAGCGTAACGAAATATATAATAATAACGACAACATACGCGATGATGCCGGCAACTAGATGCTCCTGGAGATTCGTGGCGATCAAACTCGTCGTTACCCCTGAAATCTTGAGGGTGTCGGTGTGGGTGTGGGTGGGTGTGCATTATTCATTGGCCCACACCCACACCCTCAAATGCTTCTGCTTCGCATCGCATTAAAAGAAACTCGCGACGGACTACATGAATGCTGTGCTTCGCACCGCATTAATAAACCTTCTTCGCGCAATAATTGGGTACATAACCATTATTAATGTCTATGTGTCTTTACCAATCGTCTCTCAATTCTGATTCGCTAGTTCGTGGCCAATACATATTAAGAGTGTGGGGTGTATAGATGTGGATTGCAGGTGCTGTTCAATGCACTCAGATCCACACCACAGTGATGAACTTATTCAATATTTTTCTGCACGGGATTAGCTAATGACGGTGAATGTTCCATTCCATCATTAAAATCAACTGTCGAATTTTATATTGATTATATGAAACACTTTCATTCATCAGCAAAATCTGATAACGAAGAATTTTTATCTGTAATTAAATATTTAATTGAAAAGGGAAATGGAAATACGACTGTCTATCAATGGCGAACTGGTGGACATATTCCTGTTAGTATTGAACGATTACCATTAAATTATAAATTCGCTGAAACAACAGAAGTTACGGAAGACGAACCAAATATTATTCTTGGATTAGATGATGATTCAACAACATCAATTGAAGGTATCGAAGTCA